GCCCTTCTCCACAATCCTCCTCAGGGTCCGGTCACCTCTTCTCGTTGTGCAGCGTTTTCTGCCACACTTTTCCCTTCCCACAGACTTCCCACTGAGCTGCCTTGATACAGCACTCTGGGAACAGCCTATTGGTTCAGCAATTTCTTTCTGTGTCTTACCATCTTGCTTGAGGGTGTCAATGATGGCCTTCTGGACAGCAGTCAGGTCGGCAGTCTTACCCATGATTGCGGTTATGAGTAATGAACAAGGCTGGGAGTTTTTAAAAGCCTCAGGAATCTTATGCAGGTGTTTAGAGTTACGTCGTTGATTCAGATGGTTAGGTTAATAGCTTGTTTAGACAACCTTTTCATGATGTGCTTATTTTTTGGGACAGGCATTTTGGGTTTTCATGAGCTGTATGCCATAATCATCAGTATTAAAACAATTAAAGACCTGAAATATTTCAGTTGGTGTGCAATGAATCTGAAATATATGAAAGTTTCATTTTTATCATTACATTATGGAAAATAATGACCTTTATCACAATATGCTAATTTTTTGAAAATGACCTGTATAAATAAACTGAATTGAAACTGAATTGTTGCTGTGTTCATTCATATTCATCTGATCACAGACTCATGTTCAATGATTCAAGGTTCTTTTGTTGTTTGTCTGTTCGTGCTGCTGTTCGGCGTAGTTTTTATGCTACTAGTGCTTAGTGTATTTTAACGTTTTTCTTAGTTTGTGTCTTAGATCTTATTACTGTTTTTCTTTTACATTTCAATACAAAAGTTTGATGTAACTGGGACCCTGTGTACACAAATGAAAAACCGTGAAACCTTGAAACCCATGTCTTGCATACGTCTGTGCATGGTGGTTCTTGAAGCACTAACTCCAGCTGCAGTCCACTCTTTGTGAATCTCTCTCACATTTTGGAATGGGCCTTATTTCACCATCCTCTCCAGGGTGCAGTTATTCCTACTGCTTGTACACTTTTTTTCCTACCACATCTTTTCCTTCCCTTCGCTCCTCTATTAATGTGCTTGGACACAGAGCTCTGTGAACAGCCATCGTTTTTAGCAATGAACTTTTGTGACTTGCCCTCCTTGTGCAAGGTGTCAATAGTCGTCTTTTGGACAGCTGTCAAGTCAGCAGTCTTCCCCATGATTGTGTAGTCTACAGCACTAGACTGAGACCATTTAAAGGCCTTTGCAAGTGTTTTGAGTTAATTAGCTGATTAGAGTGTGGCACCAGGTGTCTTCAATGTCTAATTTTCTGAGATACTGAATTTGGGGTTTTCATTTGTTGTCAGTTATAGTCATCAACATTAAAATAAACATTTGAAATGTATCAGTCTGTGTGTAATGAATGAATATAATGTCATATGGGTAATGAATATAGAAGTTAAATATATTATTCGGGCTTTTTCTGCTCTCCATAGAAAACCAGCAGTTCTTGATCATCTCTGTAGTGCCACCATGAGGACAAACACAAACCAGTTGGACCAGAACTCTCAGCACAAAAGACAGAAACATGTTAACACCACCATTTAGTTGGTGTCAGATTACTGAAACACCTGAGTTCAAGTATGAACTGATGGATCATCAGCCTGTTTCCTGCTTGAATTGGTCCCAAAAAAGACTAAACATGGAACCAGAACGTTTTTGTTTCGGATTTATTTTTTACAACAAGGCTACATCACTGATGATGCCAGTCTGTCCGCCTCATTATCCAGAGTTCTATCCGGTTCACTTTATGATAAACCGAAAATAAATTTAAATCAAAGATAAAAGGTCAAAGGTGACGCCAAACTCTCCAGCGTTACGCCTCCTCACGCTGCTACTCTGCCAAGAGCATCATGGGAAATCTTTTGGCTCTTTTTTTGGCACAAAAAACATCAAACCAAAGTCCCAAAAAATAAATCTCTTAAAAACGGTCGAGCAGGCACGTCCCGATTTATCGTCGGTAAAGATCCAACAGAACCGATCTGCATCGTTCATCCTGTGAAGGTCTCCAGTTCTGACCCTGCCCACCCAGCACCACCTGCTGCAGGTGAGAATGGCTGGAGTTAGGGGAGGACTCTGTCTCAGGTTTCAGAGATTTGTCTTGTTTCACATTCAAAGTCCCTCCATCTTCCTCATCTTCATCACGTTAGGTACTCGTCTGCAGTCGCAGCTTTTTGCCGTCACCTCTGGATGTTGGTCAAATTAAAATCACCTAAAGAAAAAAAAAAGAAACAGCTTAAAAATTCTCACAAAAAACTGAAATGGGTTTAAAAAGTGAACTTTTCATTTTGTGTGAACACTTCCTTGGCTAAATTATTCCCTGAATGAATCATTCATTGAAAGAATCGTTTATTGACTGTTCTCCAAATCTATCAGTTGTTGCCTGAATGAACTGTTCACTGTGTGACTACCTTCTCAATAACAGGTGGTGGGTGGCGATTTCACCATAGTGTCTGGCGCCGCCCATCATGACTGATCACTTTTTCCCCTTTGGAGTCAATCGACGCATGAGCGCGTGAGTCACAAGACCTATTTCAGTCACTCTAGCAGGAAAGACAGCCTCTCAGAGACTATATTTTAATTTGTATCAAAACTACAGACTAAACTACACACCAGTTTTAAAATTGTGTTGCTAGGTCTAGTAAAATCATGCACTGCCTGGACAAAAAAAAAAGTCTCCACCTTGATTTAACTAAACAAACAGGTCCGAGCCTCCAGTTGGATAATTACTGCATGGACCATTATGTTTCAGCTGCAACAAGTTATTTAACCCCAACTGGTGCAATGAGTTGCTTCTCATTTCTTCAACTACCATGTCAAAGACACATCACTTGGTCGTGGAAAAGAAGTCAGTCTGTTTGAGAAGGGTCAAATCATTGGTATCAAGCAGAGAAAACATCTAAGGAGATTGTAGAAACTACTAAAATTAGGTCAAGAACTGTCCAACACATTATTAAAAACTGGAAGGATAGTGGGGACCCATCGTCTTCGAGGAAGAAATGTGGCTGGAAATAAATCCTGAATGATGGTGATCAGTGATCACTTAAATATTTGGTGAAATCAAATGGAAGAAAAACAACAGTAGCACTCAGAGCTGTGTTTAATATTGAAAGTAAGAACATTTTCACACACACGTGAAGGAACTCAAGGGACTGGGACTGAACAGCTGTGTAGCCTTAAGAAAACCACTAATCAGTGAGGCTAACTGGAAAAAGGTTTAATTTGCTAGGGAGCATAAAGATTGGACTCTGGAGCAATGGAAGAAGGTCATGTGGTCTGATGAGTCCAGATTGACCCTGTTCCAGAGTGATGGTGCATCAGGGTAAGAAGAGAGGCAGGTGAAGTGATGCACCCATCGTGCCTAGTACCTAGTCATCGATGCAAGATCTTGGTGAAAAATTAATGCAACACTGGATGAAATAGATCTTGTGACATTGCAGAAGTTTATCGAAACAATGTCACAGTGAATGCATGATGTAATCCAAGATAAAGGTGGTCCAACAAAATATCAGTGTGTGACCTTTTTTTTGGTGTCTGTAAATAATCCATGCAGCATCTTTTTCTGAAAATTATTGTCATATCTGAAGCACGTTCGAGCGAGAGGCAAAGACAGGCAGTCACGGGGACAAAACACCCCCTAATCCCCACTGAATGACTTCATAACTCTTTTCATGTCTGTGATGCTGGTAAGAATTTTTTTATCAGTGATCAGAGTTTAAACACCAACAGTTCATTAAACAGAAAATCTATGAGTTGATGTTGGAAATGACTCCATCCTCCTAATCGAACAGTTAGTGATAGAGCTGTGTGTTCAGTTCCATGAGTTAGTTGTTCCCTGAATGAACTGTTACCTGGTGTCATGTGAGATGGCAGCTATCGGAACAGTCTGGTGAATTCTCTGATGGCCCAACACACCTGTTTGCACTCCTCGGCACTGAAAACACAAGTAGTAAAAACTGTAACAAACATATATTTCACAATTTATAGACAGTTATTTTTTTATTTCTCAAATAAATTTTTCAAACTTCATTCCAAATTAGTAGTCGTTGCTCAGGTGAGCTTAGATGTGATGTGACTACAGGACAAGTCTAAACTTGCTTTCTTTGGGCTCAAAGTTTTAAGTGTTCTTCCTTCAAACAAGCGATCCTCAAAAAATTAAAAAAAATCACTGCTTTCATACAGTCCCTGAATGTCTCAATCTGTCATCTCAATGGTCACTGAATTCTTAAGTTCAAGTTCAAGTCAAGTTTATTGTCATTTGCATCACATGTGGTACATGTGGTGGAACAAAATTGTGTACTCAGGGTCCCAGTTACACTCAAAAATACAAACCGGATTCCAAAAAAGTTGGGACACTAAACAAATTGTGAATAACAACAGAATGCAATGATGTGGAGATGGCAAATGTCAATATTTTATTCATAATATAACATAGATGACAGATCAAAAGTTTAATCTGAGTAAATGTAACATTTTAAAGGAAAAATATGTTGATTCAAAATGTCACAGTGTCAACAAATCCCCAAAAAGTTGGGACAAGTAGCAATAAGTGGCTGGATAAAGGAAACTGAGCATATAACGAACAGCTGGAAGACCAATTAACACTAATTAGGTCAAGTGACAACATGATTGGGTATAAAAAGAGTTTCTCAGAGTGTCAGTGTCTCTCAGAAGCCAAGATGGTAAGAGGATCACCAATTCCACAGAAAGATAGTGCAGCAATACCAGAATGGTGTTACCCAGAGCAAAATCGCAAAGACTTTTAAGTTATCATCATCAACTGTGCATAACATCATCAAAAGATTCAGAGAATCTGGAACAATCGCTGTGCGTAAGGGTCAAGGCCGTAAAACTCTACTGGATGCTCGTGATCTCCGGGCCCTTAAACGTCACTACACCTCAAACAGGAATGCCACTGTCAAGGAAATAACAGAATGGGCTCAGGAATACTTCCAGAAAGCATTGTCAGTGAACACAATCCACCGTGCCATCTGCCGTTGCCAGCTGAAACTCTACAGTGCAAAGAGGAAGCCATTTCTAAGCAAGCTCCACAAGCTCAGACGTTTGCACTGGGCCAGGGGTCATTTAAAATGGAGTGTGACAAAGTGGAAGACTGTTCTGTGGTCAGATGAGTCACAATTTGAAGTTCTTTATGGAACACTGGGACGCCATGTCATCCGGACCAGAGAGGACAAGGATAGCCCAAGTTGTTATCAACGCTCCGTTCAGAAGCCTGCATCACTGATGGTATGGGGTTGCATGAGCGCTTGTGGCATGGGCAGCTTGCATGTCTGGAAAGGCAACATTAATGCAGAGAACTATGTTCAGGTTCTAGAACAACATATGCTCCCATCTAGACGTCATCTCTTTCAGGGAAGACCCTGCATTTTTCAACACGATAATGCCAGACCACATTCTGCAGCAATCACAACATCATGGCTACGTAGGAGAAGGATCCGGGTACTGAAATGGCCAGCCTGCAGTCCAGATCTTTCACCTATAGAGAACATTTGGCGCATCATAAAGACGAAGGTGCGACAAAGAAGGCCCAAGACGATTGAACAGTTAGAGGCCTGTATTAGACATGAATGAGAGAGGATTCCTATTTCTAAACTGGAGAAACTGGTCTCCTCTGTCCCCAGACGTCTGTTGAGTGTTGTAAGAAGGGGGGATGCCACACAGTGGTAAAAATGGACTTGTCCCAACTTTTTTGGGATTTGTTGACACCATGAAATTTGGAAACAACAGATTTTTCCCTTAAAATGATACATTCTCTCAGTTTAAACTTTTGATCTGTGATTTGTGTTCTTTTCTGAATAAAATATTAGATGTTGGCACCTCCACATCATTGCATTCAGTTTTTATTCACAATTTGTTTAGTGTCCCAACTTTTTTGGAATCCAGTTTTTAGCAAAAATATAAAGTATAAACAAAAACAGTACAAAAGGATCTAAGATATACATTGATATTTGCCAAACGGTATGCTAAAAGATCTAAGATATGCGCTAAACAGTAATAATGTAAAACGATACATACATACAGCAGCCTGAACATGAGTCTGTGGTGAGCAGATGGGTATGAATGAATACAGCAGCATGAGATAAAGCATGAGATTCATGAACCATTGAAAAGTCTCAACAAAAAAATAAACTGTCCAGATGACCTGATTAACTTTGTTAGAGTTTTTTACTCGGATTATTAAGCATGAACTTTGATGTCTGAACTACTTACTTTATCTTTATCCTCTAAAAACAGGAACATATCTGCATTGGGTTTTGCCATGAACTTAGCTGCTGTTTGAAGTCACTTAGAGGTCAAGGTCAAGAGTATCAGATCTTTTTGCAAGGTATTCAAGGATACAGGAGCGTAGTAAGAGAAGGCCCTTTTGCCTAGTTCAGTCCACACTGAGGGGGCACTGCATGTAATAAGTTTCTCAATGAGCTTCAGGTGAGCCAAACTGCCCTGACAACATGCACGCAGCTGGATATGTCTTTGATTCCTGGGGGAAGTGGAATGTGATGCGTCTATCTCTGCTGTAGATCCAGGACGTCGAAGATGCATATTTTTATTTATTTTATTTAACCTTTATTTCACCAAGAAAATCCCACTAAATTAAAAATCTATTTTGCAAGAGAATCCTGGCCAAGACTGGCAGCAGCACACAGAAGTTACAGAACATTCATGACAAAAATAAAAATAGTTAACTCTGTCATAAATAAATTAATTAAAACATCCCTCAGTTAAAACATTTACAGACAGATGATTCCTTCTCCAAATCAGTAAGAACAGCCTTAAAAACATTTTGTGACGACAGCTCCTTTAGGTTCATGTATTTCTGCAACTGGTTCCAAGAAGATGGAGCAGAAAACTGAAAATATTTGTTTTTAAGTTCAGTTCCGACTTTAGGCACTGTAAGTAAAAATAAGTTCTCACAATGAAGAGAGTAGCCTCCGGTGGATTTTCTCTTTATAAAGGCCAAAAAATACAAAGGAAGAAGTCATTGTATGGCCTTAAATAAAGATGTGCCAATGGCGGAGTCTTCAAGTGGCCAGTGCTGTCCATCCAACCCGGATGTATAAAGTACAATGATGTGTAAAACCTTTAAAACCTGTAATAAATCTTAAAACTTCATGATAAACAGTATCCAGCGAATAAAGACATTTCAAGAGAAGCATGCAAATGTCACCAAAGTAACATCAACCAGTCACTGTCGAGTGAATCGTCTATTAAAAATCCTAAATATTTATACTGTGATACTTTTTCAATTTTCAGACCTTCATTTGTAGTAATGACTGAAAGATCCTTTTCAAATCTCCCATTGGAAAACAGTATCACCTTCGATTTATCTGCATTTAAAACAAGCTTAAAAAAGCATATATAACTGGATTTATGATAACAGGTTTCCTGCTTCTTGGAATCAGCTGGCTCCTGGTTTATCAACATACAAAGAAGACGGCTGCAGCTAATTTGGCCCTGGTCAGGCTCCTGGCCTAATGTGAGCCAATGCTCCGTGTCTCGAGTACCCCCCAGACTCAATTGCTTAGCAAACTGAACTGTAAATTGGATGTGATTTGTGAGAATTGCAGGCCATTTGCGGCCTCTAGGACTCAATGGCAGGATGGATCGGATCTCAGGGAATATTTTTAAATCATCTGGTTTATCAGAATCAGAATAAACTTTATTGGAATTGCATCGAGGTACAACGCGAATATGTACGTACAGTCGTCCGAAAGATGGGTGGAGTGCACGAAGCTGCAACTACAGGAGAGCGCGGCCATTTTATCCTTAACAGATAATAATCTTAGATAGGTAAAGGGGGAGAAACATGAGGGTAGATGGTGGTATTACAAAAAAAGATCTTTCACATCTTGTCTATCAGGACACGATTTGCGACATCAAAAAACTCTACCAGCAAGCACAATTAAAACATGATTACATTTGCATTTGACATCGAGGTGTTGAGATTTGTCTATGAGCTTTTTTTTCAGATCAGCCACATTTTCTGAAGATGTTGTTCCAGCCAGCAGTTCTGATAAACTTGCACAGAAAGTTCTCAGGTGGGGGGTGGGGGCGCGATAGATGAAGCTTTTGTCCTTGGGTACTCATGTCCCAGGAGAAATTTGATAGTCAGCCTGTCTCCGAGGCCATTGGGAGTCAGATTAGATAAGCTTAATATTTGTTTTTCTTCAGGCAGACAGATTTTTTCTTCAGCCTTGAGTTTATCTGGGCGTTCTGGTTCCGAAAAAGCCCAATTGTGGAATTTAATTTCACTGATCCATGCTATGAGGATTTCAAATATCAAATTTCTCCTGGGACATGGGTAACCAAGGACAAAAGCTTCATCTATCACAACCCCCACCCCGAGAACTTTCTGTGCAAGCTCATCAAAACTGCTGGCTGAAACAACATCTTCAGAAACTGTGGCTGATCTGAAAAAACGCTCATGGACAAATCTCAACACCTTGATGTCAAATGCAAATGTAATCATGTTTTAATTGTGCTGCTGGTAAAGTTTTTTTGATGTCTCAAATCGTGTCCTGATAGACAAGATGTGAAAGATCTTTTTTTGCAATACCACTATCTACCCTCATGTTTCTCCCCCTTTACCTATCTAAGATTATTATTTTGATAAAGGATAAGATAAGGCCGCGCTGTCTATAGTTGCAGCTTAGTGCATTCCGCCCATCTTTCGGACGACTGTACGTACATGTTTGCGTTGTATCTCAGTGCAATGCCAATAAAGTTTATTCTGATTCTGATTTTCAAGCACGGACCAGCGGTGTGTCCACTTCGTTTGGACGTTTCGGAATTTACATGAGACCAGCAAAGACTCAAGGTTGATAAAATTCAGTAAAGTTCTGCCTGTCTTCAAAACAAATGTTTATCTGAATTCGGCTCCTTCGGCTGGCTTTGGCAGGCCACCTTATCTCAATT